CACCATGAAGCTGCATGCAGCATAGATATCTATTCAGCCGCTGCCTAGGAAAAATTCATCAAGGTCTGCCGGAAGATCCACACCAAAACCGAGGCCAATGAGAACAAGGTGGATGAAGGATGGTATACTAAGGAAGAGATGTTCAAAGTGTTGCATTGGAATGCGAATCTCAGCCGTTTCATTGAAACCAATACGTGTATGGAGCTCGCACCATATAATATGTTTCATAGCGTGCGTATAAGGAAGCGGGTGGAGGGAGCTATGAAAGTCTGTCGACAAGATCCAACCCTTGTGAGGCACACGTTGTTTGAATGTTTTTTTGGACAAGGCACGTATCAGCAAATCAATCCACCTTTCCCAGCATCTCCTTCACAGTGGCCTGCACAGGAAGAACCGATATTCCGGAGAAGAAGAGTTCTGCGTCGAAGTGCGAGAGACCGGTAGCAGGAAGCAGGAAGTAACCAACACAGAAGAACGCATTCACCAGGGAAAGGACCAAGTTTGGTTTGTATGTCATATTTGGCAACATCTTGTTCCTATAGTGGCTATCTAGTCTCACAAACCCACAGGACGAGGATAGTACTCCTTTGCCGGCAGCCGATGGGGTTAATGTGGAGGGGGTGGGCAAGATGACGGATAGGTTTTTGGCTCGTTCCAGTGGGCAGTGCGAGGAAGCTAGCGAGGCCTTCTGATCAATACTGTAGTGAATGCATACCAATTTGCAACAACATGAGTTGTGTCAAGGGTCACTTACTACTGTTACCTTCTCCAGGCCCTAACCGCCAAAGAAACCTTCCGGCGCTTTTGTGACTCAGTCCTTCAAAAGTCTTGCAAAATCCGGTCTCTTATCAGTGACCTCAAGCGGAACTACCCCGATGATGAGATGGCCACAAAGTCATAGGCTTATACTGATCCTTTCTTTAGTTCAAGCCCAGCTGCATGTCAGCCACCATGATCCTCTTCCGGCTTTCTTGCATCAGGTCGGTCGTGGCATTGGAGAAGGATCTGTCGACCTTGGATAAGGAGTTCACCAAGCTTAGCGACTGCTTGGCCAAGGGTGAACAGGATGAGTTCAACAGCACGTCTCCAGCCAGTGTGAAACAATCAAATGCTGTTTGCCACACAGTTCTTTGAGTGCAGTTTCTTCCAAATGTTCACTGGCAGTTATGCAAACACAAGGTGGAAGACGGAGTCTGAAAAAATGATGAAGACTTCAACCTTCACGTGCCACAGTTGCGATTCAACAACATGCACATGCATGCATGCATGCGTGCATGGATCTGTTCATGCAAGTTCCTGGTAGTAGCAGCTTAGGTGCACTCAGATCGCCCAGAATGAGATTCGCATCCGGAGTCTCGTCGAATTTCATCGCCTCATGAAGCTATGTGTTGCAATCACCTCACATGCAAGACCATGTCATGGCTGTATCATTTGCACATGCCCATTGAAAATATTGTTGTTCTGTGGTTTCTATTCGAGACCACTTAGGAATGCCAAGCGCCACTTCCAGAAAGCGGAGAAGGAGAAGGAACATGAGTGAGTAGGCATTACCCTTTGCAAACTTGTATCCACGTGTTCTTTTGACACGCTTTGGGGTAGCCCATGGCCACTTGAACAAAGTGCATTTTGGGCCCTGGGATGATGACACAATGCCTTAACCCGATGGTGATTGGATTGTTTGGCCATTTTTGTTTCGTACATACAATAAGCAAGATACCTTAAAGCCTATGGGTTGGCGGCGCCTGGTGTCATGCAACAATTCTAGACTAGATGCACAATTGATGCAGTTTCAATCAAAAGAGACACCGATGATCGAAGGGTTGGAACAAAAAATACTGCGTTACGGATTTGCACAGTTGTGCTTGTATGTTGCCAACTCAATGGTACCAAACAATTTGTATCCTGGTGCCAGGTCCTGGACCAACTGCAAGAGTCTTCGCTCGCAATGTCGGAAAGGGAGCCTGGTTCTCAGTCTCATTGTACCCTGTGGCTCACTTTGCCACACCCGCATTGGCCGTGCAGTTTTTTCAACCTCTCAAAAAGAACATGCATACTACTTTTTGGAATTATAGTATAATACACCATACTTCACCCACCAACCTCTTCGCGCAGCAAAGCTGAAACAAGTTCAGCCCCACCTGGTCTGCAAGCCTAGTGACAGATGCAGCCATGTGGGTTTTCATGCCGTGGTGTTGATCTCGACGATGCTCACCTCTCAGATCATTGTGACTCAACTTCATGTTTCTTAGAAAACAATTCCACAGACTTACCTTTGTTTACCTTCTGCTGCCAAGTCATATAATAGGAGAAAGTAGCTTTATAGGTTTAAGAAAGAACCATTTGCAAGCTGTCTTGCCTAAATCCAAAAACCATTCAAACCCGTTGTGGATCGAGAATTGAACCCCGAGCAAAAACTCTGAACATTTCAAGATTCTGGAATGCCGGGGGAGCCTTCAAAGCAGCTGCATCGATGCAAGGGTCACATGGCAAAACGAGGATCTGAAAATGCATGTCGTAAAGGTCAAATGGCTTTGTTAGCCAACATGTTTGGAGTTTGTACTCGAACAGGAGGATCCAAGAATACCGTTTTGAATTGGTTTTGCCAAGCCTACGTTTGCCAGCTTCAAAGAGTTCCGTGAGACAATGAACTGAGTTGAGACACCCCATGGATATATTTAATTAAGTTCTGGGAGTTGCTGCTGTGCATGGCACTCCTCGATCGATCTAACCGAACACGATTGATTTAACATTGGGGACCGTGAGCAAACTAGAAAATAGAAACGCTAAGGAACACAGTTGTCCGATGTTGTCCGCTGTGTTTGGGTGCATAGATCGATCATTCAGCAGCTTTTGCTTACAATATACAGTACCTGAAATCTCTCACCTTGTGCCTTGTACCGTGGATATGTTGTCCATTAAACCTTGTTTGCCGGCCCGAGGCCTCATGCACTTCTCAGATTGAGACTGCGCAAGCAGTCGCTACTGAGCTAGGCTCAGAGGCTGCGAAAGCAAGCGGGGTGTCGGATTGGGCACGAATTCAATCCGGCAACAGCGAACGTGACGTGAGCAAAGTTGTTAAAAAACAAAAAACAACGTTGGATGTTCAAATTACAGAAGTCAATATTCAGGGAACAATGGTTCCTTGGATTAGTCCAAAAACTTGGCTGCAATATATTGTGGACAAACAACTCCTGTATATGCTGTCAGGGCTGAGCTTTGAAGAAAAAGACCAAGTAGGTCTGGTGTGGGAAACTTTTTGGTCGAGCTATTTGCATCTACATCCACACTTTTCTTTGGACCTGGAGGGAATAGACCGTTCAAGACTGATTGCTCTATATATTCATGGTGATGAAGGAAGAACCCTCAAGAAGTCAGATATCATGGTGACAACGCTTCAATCTGTTGTTGGGTACGGCTTTGCTACGAAACGCTTGAAAAGAGAGCGAGATGACGACGTCTTGCAGGTGAACTATGCTGGAAGTAGTTTTTTGTCAAGGCTGGTGACATCATGTGTCCCCAAGTCTGCATATGATGGAAACCCTGAATTCTTTCACGAACTCATGGATGTATTTGCAATTCAGTTGCGGGATCTACTTGTCACCGGCCTTGTGGATCCGATTAGTGGAGACACCATTCGATTCTGCGTGGTTGGATGCAAAGGAGATTTACCATATCTTCAAAAAATGGGGCGCCTCAAACGAGGCTGGAATACCGCTGTGAAACGAGGATCCGAGAGGAAGAGGCCACGCGGAATTTGCCACTTGTGTCTAGCGGGCACTCCGGAATTCGCAGCAGAAGAGGTTGGAGTGGCTCCAACATGGGTCCGGTCAATCGGCATTCAGCCAGCATGGGACACCACTCCCGCAGTGATCCGCTATCTCCCTCATTCGTTGGACAATCCAGGATCATTTTTTTGTTTCGACCTTTGGCATTGCTTACACCTGGGACTTGCAAAAAGCTTTGTGTCGAGCGTTGTTCAGCTTCTTTTGGAAAAAGTTCCCAAGACAAACATGGACGATCGGTGGGAGTGGCTGAGTGATCACTATAGATCTTTCTGTCGAGCAAAAAAACTTCAACCGCACGTCACCAAGTTGACCGGGTACTTCTTTTCCTACGGGGAAAAGACTGGAGCGACCGGAAACTGGTCGAAAGGCGCTCTGAGCACAGCTCTTATGAAGTGGACCGAGAAGCTTATTCAGGATCTTGCCCCCGATGCTGCAGGTGATGTGTCTGAAGCATTCATTGCCGTACAAAGCATCAATGCAGCCATGTCTCATTTGTACAATGCTCCCTTGTTTTTGAAGGCCAATGAGGCAGAGTTTGTGGGAAGACAAGGGCTTGTTTTCCTGACTAAGTACTATGGTCTGGCAGTCTCCCAGTTTGCGCTGCGGAAGCCATTCTTGTTTCCATTGTACCCTAAGATGCATGCTGCTTGCCACCACTTTCTTGCACTCTTGATGCAGTCCAGAGAACGTGGTGGTGCTCTCAATCCACTTTCCACAGGATGTCAGTTGGATGAGGATGCAATCGGAAAGGCATCGCGAATTTCAAGACGCGTATCTATCCGGAAGGTTATGCAGCGCACCTTAGAGAGGTACTTGATGACTTGCTATGCAGAGTGGACGGAGGCGAAGCTGTTGAAATGAAAAGTGCGCTTGGGTCATGGGAAGGGTGAGTCGTGATGACGTTATATGATTGTAGATGTGCGCTTGTCCACAATATGCAGTCAGCAAAGACAAAACAATACCTGGTAAATCTAGACATACCTGGGTTCCAATTAGATTATATACCTACCTTTTTTTCCTACCTGGAAATATGTAGGTACTTGATGCTCTAGGTATATATATAAGCAAGTCCTCGCACCTGGTGAATCTTCTGTATTTTTGTTTCGGTTCCGTACAAATGCAAATCCAAGTCATACTCAAATCCGGACTTGGCTCCAAACCTTTGGACTTCACTTCTCAGATTCTGCAGCTGCTCCACGCTTTTTCTTTGGCCAGGCCAAATGGGACCGTTTCGACAACGACGCCTTCCTGGAGGAGCTGGGCGAACACTCGTCGCTGGATGCGAACGACGCGACCACTCGTCCCGGGGGAGCGCCGACCGTGGTGGCAAAGCCGCCGGCGCAGCATTTGAGAAGCGCCCAGGCGGAAGTGTTGGATCGGGACCGTGACAGGTGGGTTGTTTGGTGTCGAATTCTTAAAATATCCCGAATCCAAAAGGAATCCCAAATAGTTAGTAAGCTACTGTATTTCTGTTTACATGGATCGGTCCATTTTCATGGGGTATATTGTCAATGGTTGTATACCTAGACCCCGCAAAAGACGTATTTCTTCTGGTGAGGGCAATTTTCAGGCGAAGCTCAAAAAAACACATAACAAACAGTTTTGGTATCGATTTTTGTCACTTCTGCGTTTTTTTTGTCACTTCTGCATCATTTTGGCGTCATGTTTTCTATCGCGAATATGCTGCATGTTTCTGCGTCATGTTTTCTGGCGAGACGGAAAAACAGACATCGTTTCAGGGTCCAGGTATGTGAACAAATCAATCCCGGGCACGACTCGAAGACTTCGACCAATCTCCAAGACTTCGACCACTCCAAATCTGGTATCATAGAGACGGTGCAAACCAAAGCACCGTCCATCCCCGCGTTGCACCTTTTGCGGCATGTGCCCGCCAGCGTCTTTGGACCTTGTCGTGACCCCAATTAGTCTCATGTCTTGGACGCCAACGTCGGCGACGTCGCCTTTGGAACCAAACCATGGTGATACCGAGACGGTGGATCCACAGGGTCCCAGGGTTTTTGAGTTGTTGCAGGAGAAGTCACTTGTCCATCAAGAGCAACAAACCTGGAAAGGTCAAGCGTAAGAGAAGCTTCCACTCCTCCACGTAAGTGACACCTGCGTCAATCGATTTCAAGGAACATGCTGCCAATAACGACGAATAGTTCGAGGATGTTCGAGGAACATGTTGTTTCAAGGACTTTTGAGAAAACCATGGATGTGGAAGAGAGTCTCCTGGGTCGAGCAGTGCAGAGCAGAGGGGTTACAGGTGTCGATCTGCTCCACTTTGATCAGGATATGCTGCGGAGTTCAAAATCTTACTGCTGGGCGAGCGGGGTGTGGCTTGGGCAGAAGTAGCACAGTTGTTTGAGGGCGTGCTTCTGGCGACGGTTGACCCTCCAACATGTGGCGACCGTTGATCCCTGTTTTTTGCCACCGGGTATTTGTTACGTTCCCATACGATGATGATAGTGTATGCAGAACCAGAGTCTTGGACCTTTGGGCCTGGCCAAGCGTGTGTCTTGAGTCCTTCAAAAAGAGTGAAAACCATTGAACACTTGCACCTAAGGCGAGAAGGAAACAACCAAACAACAAACAGCAAACAGCACCAACAGCAGCAACGACAGCCGCAGCATTTACAGCAGCAACAACAACAACAACAACGGCATCATCATCATCATCATCATCATCATCATCATCATCATCATCATCA